AAAAAAAAAAAAAAACCTGCTAATTACATTTATATTATGTAAAAATAAAGGGAATAATTGACTAGCCTTAAAAAAAATAATAAAGGTAATAATCACTGAGAATAAAGCAGTTGAATATAACAATAATATTTTATGGGGCACTTATAATGTTTATAATATTGTAAACCACCATGTACTCTATTCATTTAATGCTAAATGACTTGACCATTCCTGTGGGATAGAAGATAGTAAGAAAAATGCTGGGACCAGGCGCCATGACTCACGCCTGTAATCCCAAGACTTTGGGAGGCCAAGGCAGGTGGATGACTTCAGCTCAGGAGTTCAAGACCAGCCGGGGCAAAATGATGAAACCTCGTTCTCTCCCAAAAATACAAAAAATTAGCCAGGTGTGATGGTATGCGCCTTCAGTCCTAGCTACTGGGAGACTGAGGTAGGAAGATGATTTAAGCCCAGGATGTAGCGGTTGCAATGAGCTGAGCTCGTGCCACTGCACTCCATCCTGAGCAGTAGAGTCAAACCCTGTCTTTAAAATAAAACCATAATAAATTATAAAAATTACCAATATTTAAATAATAAAAAAAGATGAATAAAAACAGATAGATATAAAAAAATTTAAAAAGAGGCCAGGCTTAGTGGCTCGTGCCTGTAATCCCAGCTCTTTGGGAGGCTGAGGGTGGAGCAGATCACTTGAGGTCAGGAGTTTGAGACCAGCCTGGCCAACATGGTGAAACCTCATCTCTACCAATATATATATAATATATATAGGTATATAATATGTATATATATATAAAAATATATAAAAATTATCTGGGCATGGTGGCATGTGCCTATACTCAAGAGACTTAGGTGGGAGAATCACTTGAGCCCAGGAGGTTAAGGCTACAGTTAGCTGTGTTCATTCCACCACACCCCAGCCTACTGGGTAACAGAGCAAGACTCTGTCTCAAAAAGAAGAGAAAAATGCTGTGCTACATAGTGGGGCCAGGCAGAAAAAAAAAAAAAGTCCTATAGAAATCATATAGATAAATATTTGCAAAGCTGCTACTGCCATTGTACCAGTGTTAAAATGTGTTCTACCTTGTATCTTTTACTGATTTTTATGACAGATTTTATACTGCAACCATTTGAGAACTCAGTAAGTGCTATGGCTTCCTTAAACTACTATTTATCATATGCTCCCAGTATGTACTTTGAGACTGAATAGCAACCGGAGAATGTAAACAACCAAACAACCAAGGTACATCTGGTTATGTTTTTAAATAAAGATTAATAAAATTTTGGTTTTTCTCTCTTTTTTTTTTTTTT